GTTGCCGCGGAGCGCAACTCGAATGCGCTCAACTCAAAGCGTATTTAACCTGAGGTATGACTGTATATGGAACAGCATGATTGTGTCTGCCTGGCCTGGTGTCACCATGCAGTATTAGAGCTGGCACCTGCACGTTGTCCAGAAAAAGGATGCAGGTTTTGATAATGCGTATAAGCTAATTTAAATGCAAATTGAGAAGCAATTGTTCTAATTTCAATACAAATACACTGCATCTCCCCATAGCGGAGAAGACTATGCCCAGGTGACTTCATGTGTCTGCTCAGTCTGCTCTCCAGGTACAAACTGATGATGGGCAAGGCTCTTCCTACTTGCGGTTCTTTACCACACATCAGAACTTGGGCTGCAAATCAGGACACATAGACATCCCTTGCTGCATCACAGAAGCAAAGGAGTATTAGGAACATAGGAAGATGCTTTATACCAAGTCAGAGCAATGGTCCATCCTTTGCCTACAATGATCAGCAGAAGCTGCCCAATGTTCTAGACAAGGGGGCATGGGCGTAGCCAAGGGGAGGCAGCTGCCCCCCAGATCTGGTAAAACAATAGCAATACTTAACTAACTGACCAATCATGTCGGTTCTGCCCCCCTAACAAAAGTCCTGCCCCACACAACAAAAATCCTGTCTATGCCCATGCGAGGAGGAATTACCAGCCCTACATGGAGAGGCTGAGGATTGAACCTGGTACCTTCTGCAATGCAAGACAGATGTTCTGCCACTGAGCTACAGCCATTGTGTCCATTTTCAGGAAGAAGTGTCCTGTGTTCAGCTGTGTTCATGATCATAGTATCTCTGGCTGTGTGTGCACTAAATTTCAGGGCAATGACTAATTGGAAAGCATGGCAACAAATGTCAATGTTCCATCGAGGGAGCTCAGTCAGTAAGTTTGCAAAGCCCCGTCATCTTTATATAAATGTATAATACATATCCATCATCATATAAAACTAAGAAGCTGATCTTTATAGGTGAGATATATTTAATTGCAAGGGGGTTTTTTTTGGTAAAATAAATAAAACCCTATATTCAACTTTTTTGGCAAGATTAGAATGGAAAACAATACTCCCTGGCTCCAGATGCTTGACAGTCTAATTCTGTAGGTTACATTTCACACATAGCCACAGCTGCAGCCAATAAGTGGGCTGTCTTTATTATTCTCCTCTGATATGAAGTTAAAATGAACTGGAAATGTTTATGCCATAAATGGCTTGCAGCATATTAAACAGATAATGCAAGGCTAAGGCCTTCCTTTAAAAACACAGGGTGTCCCATCCAAACGAGCTGAACTATGGTAACCCAATCCAGAGCTTTCCCCCATTTACCGGAATAGTTGCTCTGTTCACATACACAAGACAAATATCTCTTTGCTGAACAGAGGAGGGTTCATTTTCTGTCTTGCTCTTCTAGGGAGCCAATTATGCATTTCTAAGGAAAAGGACGAAAGAGGACATAGATTTGTATAACATTGGCATATGATAATTTACCCTAGCCTTGTACACAATATACTATAGAGAGCCACCCAATTCTTTTGACTGTAAATTGTTTCAATGTATTTTAATTTTGTATCTCTGTATGTTTATATGTTATATGACCTGCTCTGAGACCTTATAGTAAGGGGCAGGTAATAAATCATTGAAACATGAAATTGTAAAGGTAGAAAGGACCCCAAGGGTCATCTAGTACAACCCCCCTCTACAATTCAGGAATCACAGCTAAAGACTCTCTGACAGATAGCCATCCAACTTCTGTTTAAAAACCTCCAACAAAGGACAGTCTACCACCTTCCATTGTAGTCAATTTCACTGTTGAACAGCTCTTACAATCAGAGAGTTCTTCCTAATACTTAGTTGGAATCTCTCTTCTTGTAATTTGAATCCATTGGTTTGGGTTCTCCCCTCTGGAGCACTGGAAAATTAATACTATTCGTAATAACTGGTTGCATCTAAGTACTACTCAGAGTAGACCCACTGAAATTAATGTACCTAAGGTAGTAACACCCATCAATTTCAATAGGCCTGTTTTATGAATAACATTGGATACAACCCAGTAGGTGTACAGATGCAAATTTAGAAATAGTATAATTTCAGTAGAAATACATCTAGCCATTGCTTGCCGGGGGGACGGGGGGACGGGGACGGGGACGACTGTGACCAGGTGACTTGCCTGTGCCTCCTCAGTCTGCTGTCCAGGTGTCAACTATGGATGTGCAACTTCAAGGTCCCTCCTGCACTCCTTTCTAGGTTTGTTTGTTTTTTAAGTCCAAACCAGGCTAGGAATGGACAATCATTTAAAAAGACAACTGCAATGGAAGGCAAATGGCAACCCTGAATTCTTCCCAGGTAGGGATGTTAGGGAATCCAGATGAAAACAAAAATAGGACCAGAAAATGCCAATGTTCAGTTATTCATCCCATGTCCAGAAAAGAAACAAAGCCAGTCTATATAATCGGAATTAGCTTTTGCTGTTGCTTTCAGTCTGCAAATGATATATAATTGAATAACAGGCTGTGATATAATTTACATAATTACAAAATTACACAGTTCAGAACAGCTGAAAAAGTAACATCAGTTTTGGCAGAAGAACTGCAGTGGATCAGAAACAGTGCTGCATGAAAAAATCACAAAGCAAAATGGTGCCCCTTTACATCCCTATTCCTAGATAGCCTTGAAAACAAAATCTATGTCCCATCCACCCCACTGCAGTTCCTCCATTTGCATTGTAGATTCCAGTACACTATGACTGGATCTAGACACATTAAAAAAAAACACCATTTCAGGAAAATGTGTTGTAAAGTTCATAATGGGAAATCACGTTCCTGAAGGATCGAACTCTACAGTGCCAACTGGTGTCACAGAGTTATAACACATTTAAAATGCTTTTTTTTTACTAATGTAATTGAGTCCTATGTTGTGTATTTAGATTATTCTGCTTTGTTGTCTATTTGCTTCCTCTTCTTTGACAATCCTCCCTCCTCCGACAACCGTGTGTGTGTGTGTGTGTGTGTGTGTGTGTGTGTTTATAAGCAGTGTATTAATTCGTTGGTCTTGCCGTTGGTATTTTTTTCCACTGAGTTGGGGATGGGGAGGGCGGGGGAGGACAGGCCCCATCACAGTTAATCACCTCAACTCAACATTCCATTTGCTTGTTTGCACCAGTCAATCAATTGAGCTAAATCAAATTATTTAAGGTTGTTAATTCTTCCAGCGTCTGAGTGCCCTTTTTCCAACATGTGCACCTGACATGTATTTTCCTTGAAACAGGATACCTCTCCCTCAACAGACACATGCCAATCAATCCACTTTTGTGAGGAAATACCACAATGGCACGGAGAAGACTTGCTGACATGTGCTCGCAAATTGCTCTTCAAGATGTTCTAAAGCCTTGAGGGAGGAAAAGGCCATATGGAAAAGGGAAAGGGGGAAAGGAGGAGGAGGGAAGGATGACAGGAGCGAATGTTTGCTCATTTGATTTGAAGCGCTGCTTGGAGGAAGGCATGGCGCATGCAACGTGTTTGTTTTAGGCTGGGTCCACGGGAACCCAATTTTTTTTTTATGATCCTGAGCATTTTGCAGAGACTGTGCTTAAATCTTCATTGTTACAGTCATTGAACAGCATCAAGAAAACAAGAAGCACATAAAGCACATTATTCAAATGTGTATAATGGAACAAAATAAAATAAAGTGGATTTTTTTATTAAAAAAATACAGAGTAGAATAAACTTAAGGAATCCTATCAATAACCCCAAAGAGAAAAAAAGTACAGGGTGTCTGGGATCAGTTCCTGGTGGGTTTTGTTCACTGCAGTATGGTATGTGGACCCACTGAAAGAGTGACAGATGAATGTTGGTCTGAAAGAATTAGGACATAAAATGCACCTGACCATCCTGGCAAATTTGAAAACTTCATTAAAGATTCCGTGCAAGTTACAGTAAAAGGAGTAATACTGGAGGACATGTGTCATCAACTCAAGCTGTCCAGAGTTTCAGGGACACTGTGTTTATGGTAGGGGATATTTGTAGAGATTATGCTAAAGTTTCTGAGAAGACTTTTTTGTTTGGTGGGGTGGTTGAAATTCTATTTCTTTTTTAGCCCCCACCCCCTTTCCAAAGAGGGTCATTTTGCTGTATATTAACAGACTGGCAGGCCTGTACCTAGCATTGCTAGGGATGCCTAAGAAATAAAAAATAAATAAAAAATCAGCAGTTTTGAAATCAGTGGTTAAAATCAGTGTGATTTTGAAAATCTGAGTGCACCAGGATGATTCAAAATGGCATTCAGAAAGGACAAAATAATTGCGCCTTGAACTCAGGAACTGTCATGGAACATTTGGTTAAAATCAGGGCAGTTTTGAAAGGTCCGACCTGCCATCTTGGTTCAACAAGTCCTGCTTCAGCACCAGGACTCCCCCCTCTCTGCCCCCCAGATTGGCTCTGAGGGGTTGGAAGAACCTGCAGAACAATGCACAAGGAGAACAGAGAAATGTTTGTGCTGATGCACAGATTGTAATAGCACAACATTGGATTCCGCCCATAGAGAACAAACAACTTTCCAAAACTCATAAGGTGGTATTCAACACTAGTTCCACTCAGAGAAGATCCACTTAAGTTAATGGATGTGGCTAACTTAGTTTCATTAATTTCAGTGGGTCTGCTCTGGGTAGGACTTCATTGACTCCACCCTCTAGTAGATGGTTCCTCGTCTTTATTTTTTAGATGGCTACAATTTCCCATCAGAATAGCATTACATCCAGTCCAATTTTTGGAAATACAGAATGGCACCCAGGCAGCTGTGACCGAGCTCTGCTATTGCCACTTGTGGCGACTAAACAAAAAAGCCAAACAAGAATAAATAAGCCATGATGATTATGCTAGTGGTGAGCACTTCCTTCAATGAACATAAGAAGCTGCCTTCTAACTCAGTATCATCTGCATTGCTTGGCAGCAGCTCTCCAGGGTTTTAGCCAAAAGTTATTATGAACCCTGTCTGGAGATACTAGGAACTGAACCTGAGACCTTCTGCATACGGTGCAGATGCCCTACTCCTGAGCTATGGCCCTATTTTGATACACAAGCTCCCCAAGAGAATATTTGATGAAATGCCTCTCTGCCTCTCCTCCTCCATCCCCAAATAGGGCTAGGATGTCATTTTTACCCAGCACTAACTAGCCTGTTACTTTTGTGTGCAAAATAAACACTGCATATTTGCTTCTATTTTCAATTCAGACAGTACACAGTAACAGTACACTGTCTAGGGAAGTAGTAGTAGTAGTAGTAGTAGTAGTAGTAGTAGTACAGTGGTACCTCAGGTTAAGTACTTAATTCGTTCCGGAGGTCCGTTCTTAACCTGAAACTGTTCTTAACCTGAAGACCACTTTAGCTAATGGGGCCTCCTGCTGCCACTGCGCTGCCACTGCACAATTTCTGTTCTCATCCTGAAGCAAAGTTCTTAACTCGAGGTACTATTTCTGGGTTAGCAGAGTCTGTAACCTGAAACGTATGTAACCTGAAGTGTATGTAACCCGAGGTACCACTGTAGTAGTAATATGATTTATGCCCCACCCATCTGGCTAGGTTTCCCCAGCCACTCTGAGTGCCTTCCAGCAGAATATGAAAAACATAATAAAACATCAAACATTAAAAACTTCCCAATACAGGGCTGCCTTCAGATGTCTTCTAAAAGTTATGTAGTTCTTAATCTCCTTGACATCTGGTGGGAGGATGTTCCACAGGAAGGGTGCCACTGCCAAGAAGGCCCTCTGCCTGGTTCCCTGTAACTTCACTACTCTCAGTGAGGAAGCTGCCAGAAGACCCTCAGAGGTGGAGCTCAGTGTCCAGGCTGAATGAAGTTTACAATAATTCATTAACACAATCAAACAGCAATAATAAATATATCAAGTTATGATTGTAAAAAGTGGGGTGGGGAGCGGGGAACCAGTCCCATCAGAGATGAAAAAATTATGGCTGCAGAAATCACAGAGGCAATGAGCTCACAATCATTACTATATTTTGCCATTATATATTGTACAGCCTAGTAAGAACAGGAAATGATCAGATTTGAGTTCTAAGTCAGTGATTTCTCTTACTCTTTTTAATCAGTATAAAACACCGAGGAGCTGCTGGCAAAAAGCAAAGCCCAATCCTAAATGTCCATACCATATGCTTCTGTTATCACTTTTGTCTGATGTTAAATAAGTCCCCTTTTTGGATGATGGGAGTTCCACCTGGATATCTCAAAGCGAAATTGGGTGGCTTAAGAATCCCTACAGAGTTAGCGAATAAACAGAAAGATTTACAGAAAGAGCTTCTAGAGGGCCTGCTTGAAACAGCTGCATGCTAGGGGAACCTTTGAACATGTGGGAAGAGGAGGTGGAAAAATTGGATTCAATTTGGGACTGTTTTATTTTTATAAAGAGTAATCCATACTGAAATACATTTCCTATTTGGGAGAGGGGAGCTGTTTGACTGTTTCCACAGCTAAGTCCCCCTCTCACAGAGAAATGACACGGTGTGTGTTTTATGTTCCTAAAGGGAAGAAAGGGTCATCTCTGCGGTTCATGTCAAAAGAAAATTGATATTGACTTTTTTTAAAAAAAATGCTCAGAGACATTGGGGTTAAGGAGCCAGAAACAACATTATGAACCATTGCAAGTTAAAGAAACAGTTAAGAATGCTAGCAAGTACAGTAATATGTTTATTTTGCTGTATTTTCCAGCCTGCAAAATTTTAGATTTACTCCACTGAGTAAGACATACAACCAACCAAGTACAACTATATTTGGATCACTTCATTTCTTGCTCCACACGGTTAGTTTATGCAGTCAGCAGGTTCAGTAGTATAACTTTTCCTAGACCCAACTGTCCCATTTCAGACTACAGATAATGATTGCATATGCTTCCCTCTGAGAAAATGTCCCACATGTAGAAAACTAGCATGTTGGGGGGGGCAAATTCAGTCTAGCTTTCTGCGCAAGAAGTGTTTTGTTGTTTTTGCAGGAGCACTCAAATTAGCTAATGGATCACTCACAGCCTGAAGTAGTACAGGCATGTGAAGAGTTTATCATTTGGTTCTGCTGGTGGCAGAAACCTGCAAGGCTACCTTTGGGTTGTAAGAAAGCATCGATTTCTCTTCCAACCCATGTTTGTTGCATGCAGCACTGTTGCCATTCTGCTGCAGTTTGCCTTCCACCAAAATAAAAAGGTATTTGTCTTGCTGCGGGATGATTTCACATAATGAATTCCATAATGAATTCCATTAGCATTACTTTATTCCACACCATTGATTTCAGTACAAAGGAAACACAATGCAAATTTGGGTGCAGGGGGACAGACACAAATAATTACATGTTGTTTGTGGACTGAAAACAACACTGAATGTCCATTGTATTCATTGGTTTGATTCCTGCTCCAGACATGGGGCGAATAAGTGAACACCAGGAATTTCCACTTCAGTTTCTGCCCCTAACTACTTATACACTTTAAATGAAAACTTCAGTTCTCTTGGTGAGCTTACTGCAATTTCTCTCTCTCTCTCTCTCTCTCAAATGGAGAAAAAGGACGATAGCAAATTTGAAAAATGAAGTACCATAACTTGTACCAGGGAGCTCACCTGCATTTGTTTTGCCTTTGTTTTGAATTTCAGGGCTTAAACCTGAAACATACAAAGGAAAATAGAGGACTGGACCTCTGAGCAGGTGCACAATATTTTTCTTTAACTACTGATTAGCTACAGAGCATCAATCATCATATATCTGGGTGAAGAGCTCCCAGATAATAGGGTTATATGTGCCTGGATGGCTTTGAAATGCTGCTGCTGCTGCTGCTGCTGCTGCTGCTGTTGTTGTTGTTGTTGTTGTTGTTGTTGTTGTTGTTGTTGTTGTTACTACTACTACTATTAGTACCACTACTATTCAGCAGCACTGGTGGAAGACCATTCTCCAATCCCCCTGCCTTCTGAAGTGAAGCAAGCAATAACCATTGATAAGATCTCCTAGGCAGGACCAAGTCTGACAACATTCCAATGGCTTCATCAGTTACAGGAAGAAAAAAAGGGGGGTGGATAAAAGGGGGGGGTTCTCCTAAATGAAATACATATTAAAGCTGGAGGTCCATTGAGACAAATTATGCCCCTGTGAGATTTGCTGAAAATCTACTAACAAATTAACAGCCTGAAAGGTTAAGGCAAACATGTGTAAGCAATGGATGGTACATGCCAGAGGATGGCCCTTGTGACATATAATCTGGGGAGAAGAGGGGAAGAAGCAGATGAAGGGGCGGCTAAGGCAGCAGCATCAGGTTGCAGCCTTTGGGATCAGCTTGAGTTATCCAAAGAAAACAGCTCAGCATCTGGTAGCCTCAGCATCACAGAATGAGAATGAGGAGCTGGACAATGCAGATAGACTTCTAAAACTGTTCTCCTTTATTTTGCCGGTTAAATCTGCAATCTGTCTAGTGAAAGTACTTTCAAGTGACAACACTAGTTTAAGCCACAGGAGCAGGGCCAGTACAAAAGTTGGCAGTCCAAACTTTGTCTCCCCTAGGAGTTTCAATAACTTCTTATTTTTCCAAAATTCGAAAAAGAAAAGACATTTGAAAAGAAGGCACCTTACTTTCTAATCTACTCTAGAAAAAAATATTATCTGTACCTCTTGCTACTGGAACAACAAACAGACAAATGGTGTTTCTTCAGTGTGGGTCACTGACCTCCAAACGGGCATCCCTGAAAGCCAAACTATTTGGATAAAGACAGAAGAGGCAGGTGGCAAGCCCAGAGGAACACATGGAAAACAAAAGCATCACTTTAAATTTCAATTCCAGATTTAAAAGAAGCAACCCAACACCCTGATTTAGCATCAAGCAAACCCAGCTCTGGTCATACACAAAAGGTGAATTATCCTGGTGGCTTTTGCCACAACATGGAAATCCCCCCCCCCCCCGTATTTATACCAAAATCAACTCCTTGGCTTAGAAATGAGCAGAGGATGTGACTACTAAGAAGTAGAGGGATGTTGTTAGGCAAAATGGCAGCCAAGCATGTGTATTTCTCTCTGTAAACCACCCCTCCTATTAGCATTCATTTAAGAAGGTAACTGCATCAGCCACTGCCACACTAACAGAGAGAAGCTCTTTGCACCTCTCCTCTGTTCAGAATGGTAGGGAGGGTGGCTAGCCCCTCCTGGCATCTAAATAAGATAATGTTTAAGGGGGCATCTTTGATGTAGCAGGGGCCAGGACAGTGCAAACAGGGACTGAGCAGCTAGAGCAAACAGTTTCTTGTGTATTGTGGAGTTTTGAGGGAATATTTACTGAGCCCTTCCATGGACACTATCAGGGGTACTGGTAGGCACACTGGGGGCCATGTTGGTGCCCCTGGTTTAACAACAGCAGCAACAAAACACTTTGGGGGGAGGGTTCCTAATTAGGCTGCTGAAACAAACCTTATGCATGTGAAAGGACTGTGTGCTCACCCAGTTCTGCTACTAAAAACAAAATCCTGGGTTGAGCATGTGTACAGAGTAGGGATGTTGAGAAATTCAATTCAGTTTGCATTTAAAGGCAAACCTGCCTAATTTGTGTTCCCTGAAACAACGCATAAAGCAAGACATAGCCAGGTTTCATAATGGTACATAGGATGGAACAATGTAGGAAACTGGCTTATACTAAGTCAGACAATTGGCCCATCTAGTTCAGTACTGTTGGCACTGACTGGCAGCAGCTCTCCAGGGTTTTGAGCAAGGAACATCCCCAGCTCTACCCGGAGATGCTGGGGGTTGAACCTAGGACCTTCTGCATGAAACACATGTGCTACAGCCCTTCCTCTCATTATGATTTGCAGCTGATGAACAGAGATGTCCCAGTCAGTTACTCAACTGACATCCTGTAACACAGCCAATACTGAGGAGAAAGGTCCTTAAGAACACTGACTCCTTTCTATAACAAACTGGAAACCAGTCAAAAGTCCAAGATCAATATGTTTCCCATTGGTCCTGCACAGTTTATGAATCATCTGGCATGAGATATGTGTATGTTGCAACTTACAGCAACCCCAGAAAACAAAA